CACAGCAAAAGTGTTCTCTGGAAAACTGGGGGTGAGGGAACAGATAAAAAGCAGCTGGGCCATTTTTTCTTTCTTCTGAGTAATATTAAAAAAAATATCACACAGTTACTTTACTTTCTTGTAATTGTGAACACTTTGTCATTTTAAATAATCCATACTTAATCTACAGCTTTTTCTAGACACATAATGAATAATGATAGTCCCTACTGAGAAACATCAAATCAGAATTTGAATATGCTCCATTGAGAACTCAATTTTCAATAGGATTTTCTTTATTTTGCATTTTGGTTTTGTTGATACCTGGGTAAGTCAAATACTGATAAACGGATGAGCATTTTGTTGACAGTAAACATTTCATATGATCTCTCACAGCTTCTTCAGAGTCTCTTGCAGAACCATCATGGAAGAACATATTAAATGCTTTTGATGTTTCACATGTGAAAAGCTCCTACAATACCCAATAACTAGAAACAAATAGTTTCTTGTCGGAAGTCATCTTTAAGATTGTGAAATGAATAGGAAAGGTAGAGAAGTGAATTTCTGGAAAGGAGCTTTGCTCCAAGGATAGCTGTGAAAGTGCTTGACAGAGAGGAACAGAGGTTACTTTTCAAGGACATTTAATAGGGAAAACTAAAAATGTATTGGGTATTTTAAAGGATGCAGAATGAAAAGTATTAGTAAAAACATAAATATCGTAATAAGGAAATAATGGCACCTATTCTTCTACATAATTTCCGGTTTTATTTTACTAAAATACACAAGTTCATTTTACTATTCCAGTTGCAGATGAAAACACAGTACATTATGCACACTAAGATAGAGTACCTGCCTGCAAAAGGACACGGATATACAATATGTTGTCCTAACTGGACACGATTGTTTTCCTGTAATAAAATTACTGGAAATCTGAACCAACAGTACATGCCAAACAAGCAATCCCAGAGGCAGGACTCAACAGATACTTCTGATATTCAGTTAAGTTTTAGGGTCATGGGAAATGCAAGCTACACGTTTCTCTTGTAAGCAGACATATAGAGATATCTCTCTATATCTAGATATATCTAGATGTATCTCTATCTATCTATCTCTCTATATATACACAACAGAGATAATATAGAGGAAGTTGCTCCATAAAACACTGCAAGAGTAGATACACTTACCAAAAACTACTATTTTCAAGTAAAAACTAGCACATTCATACCTGCAAGTATGCAGCTCTTCTGACTTCCAACTGTGGAACTTGTCAGTGACACTGCTTAAAAAACTGCCCTTTTCATAAAAGTGATCTGTTTTTTTTTTTTTTTTTTCCCCACACAGAAGGGGAACATACCCTCAATTCTCCTTGACTATGAAGCTCAGTTATCTAGAGCTGTGAAGCTAAGGGAAAGATCAACAGGTGTACAAATGGAAAACTCCTAATAATACTTTACCTTGATATGGATGCAATATTTGGAAGACTAGAACTAGAAAAATGCTTTGAGATACCTGCAATAATTCTGTGCATCAAACTAAATGAACTCAATGCAGACTCTGTCCTTATGGACTACCATGTAGTATATTTCAGCATTAATAAGTAAATATGAAGCGGAAATATACATTAATAGGCTGCCTGTTGAAACAGTGCTCAGTGCTAGCAGAAAGGCATTTTAATTTAAAAATAACTAGAGAGATTCAGTAAGAAGACCTATCAGCAACTCATTCAGCTGAGAGCAGTATCACTTAAGGCTTTTAGAGACGAAAAATGCAATTCCTTGTCTTCAACGAGTCTAATGAGTGCCCTGAAGATGACTTGTAAGGTGAAGAAAGACTTACCTGTCCTCCCTAACTGTAACAGACTCATTCCTCTCCTATGATTTTTTTACAGAAATTACAGTTACACTGTAATTTTTAAAGAAAATGCACTAGAACCAGAAAGGCTTTTGAGGTAAAAAAATATTTTTATGCCTATTTATAGCACTCAAACCATTCCTGGTTTGCAAAAGGATAACACAGCCTCTCTAAAAACAAACACAAGCCGCTTTAATCAGCTGATTATCATTCATGTTACCTCTGGATTCAAATACATAAAAAGGAGTTAAGGGTCCAAGGGACTAAGCACAGTGTGGTCAAAAGTGCACTACAGCTACATCTCATCTGACTTCCAGTTTTCTTGGGTTTCAAAAGAACAGAAATGAGAGCACCTAGTGATGTCTTCCATGCATGAGAAAAACATCCCAGACTTAGAACTCTTAAAAAGTCTTAGCTCATATAGCATCTTTCTTTCTAGGAGACACAATGACCTATGTTGAGTTCAAGATAATTTTAAGTATAGGTAAGATTTGTGTAAACCGAAGCACAAATTATCCCACAATTCTTCCCCGGGTCCAGGGACTGGGAGACTCCAAATGTATTGGAAAAATATACCAAATCCTCTCAAAACCTGTCTTTGGGAGCAAATCATTCAGATATATGTAGGCAAAAACTAGATGGTAGATAATGTATATGCCTTTCTACAATCCTAGTTCAGTGAGATAATGTTTGGGATGATTTTGAAATTCAAAATCCAACACAGTACTAGAGAATAACAGGAGGTTCCTGGTACAGAGAAGAACGTGCTGTGCTGTTCATATCATCTTTTCCACAGCAAGTCCATAGCTGGAAAACATCTATCCGTGAAGTCGCAAAGGCTTGTTCTATTCACTGCCTACAGCGTGGAACCAGAGTGTTTGGTATGGCGTATAATCTGAATAAAGAGTCGACCAGATTCATTCTTGAAAGAAACCTCTCTCATATCTCTTTAAAGCTGCCAGGCTTAAAACTGTGTGCTGTTCCTGTACCTGGGGAAACGTAACAACGCTTAAACATTTAAACCATTGCTATAAAATTCTTCACGGAGGCAGACCTTGAACATCTTACTACGTTGCTCTAGTTAATCTGGAGTTTAAATATTTGGTTACGCCCAGTGTGCTCAGCCCTGCAGTACGTAAGCACAGTATCATTAAAAAGAGTTCTTGAGTTCCCCTCTACCATCGTTAACTAGGGGCCACCGCTCCTTCTCCTCCTCCTTCCAAATGTACTAGGAAACTTCATTCTTGCTTTCGTTTTCTTAGCTACATTCCCTCATGCTAAGTGTACTCAGGACACAACAGAACGAATTCAGTATTATTATTCATTCAGTGAAAACTTGCAATCTGCAAACACGAGAAAGTCTCCAAACCACAGATTCTTATTCTTACTCTGTGACTTGTGCTGAAAGGGCAAGCCATTTTTTTGAGGGGTGTCAGAGAAAATTTCTTATCACAGATGACAGAAGAGGCAAAAAGTGCTGCTGCTCTCCTGAATCTGCTACTAATACCCAAGGAAGCACTTGTTGTGGGCGTGGTGACCAGTAGCACCCTTGGCTTTAGCAATCATGAAGCACTGATGCTCCTGAAGATCCTGAGGAAAATATGGAAGGCAGGTAGTGGAACACACTCTCTGGGCTTCAAGAAAGCAGATTTCAGCTTATTCAAGGAACTAATTTATGAGATTCCATGAGAGGCAGCTCTGAAGGATAAAGGAGCTGAAAACAGCTCACAATTCTTTAGATAAAATCTCCTCCAAACACAAGAACAGACTATCATGATATTCAGGAAAAACAGTAGTTGCATCAGGAGGTCAGGCTGCCTGAACAAGGAACTCATAACTGGGCTCCAATACAAAAGAAGAATGTGTACCAGGAAGTGGAAGCAGCTACAGGCAACAAGGACTTTAGAAATATTGCCCAGCAATGGCAGGGATGGTGTAATGAAAGTTAGAGCTAGAGCTGCAACTGGCAAGGGATCTCATGGGCAGCAAGAAGAGCTTCTATCACTACCCTAACAGTAGGAGAATAAACAAAATGCTCCTGAAGGAAGCAGGTGATTTAGTGAGAGCAGACACAGATGCCTTCTTTGCCTTGGTTTTAAACCAACAAGGTCTTCCAGGCCTTGTGTCTAGAGACAGAGTGCAGTGAAAAGAGAAACTCCCAGGCGTGAAAGCGGATCAAGAGTCAGAGATCTCTTGAAATATTTTGCCCTGTACAAGGCCACTGGACCAGGCGGGCTGTATCTCAGGGTGCAAGCAAGCTAGCCAGTGTCACTGTGGGGTCCCTCTCTATCATCTTTGAAAAGACAGAAAGATCAAGACAGATGATGCGGGGAACTGCAGGCTGGTCAGCCTCACTTGGCTCCTCTTAAGAGCTGCTACTGGCCACACTCTGAAGGAAGCGACTGGGAACAGTCTGCGTGGATTTACCAAGAAGGACTAACACATGAACAGCCTGATTGCTTTTTGTGATTAAATGACTGGATTTATGAACAGAGGAGAGCAGTGGATGCCGTGTCTCCCACAGCATCATTTCATCCAAGTTGAGATGTTACAGTCTAGGTGAACGGTCTACTGGACGAGGAAAAGCTGTTTGGATGATTGTGCTGAGAGGACAGTGGGAGGCTTTGGGGGACCTGGTAACAGCTTTCCAATAGCTAAGAAGAGGTTGCCAAAAGGAGCCTGGCACTCTCCCGAGACGCACAGTAGAACAAGAGATGATAGCCATAAACTGAAACAGGAGAGGCATGATTGAGTAGAAACAAAACCAAGTAACAAAGTCATTGTGAGAATAATTAGACACTCAAACAGGTTGCCCTGAGAGGCTGTGGAATTTCTATCCTTGGCAGTTTTCAAAATCTGAGAGAAAAAAAGAAAAAACTCAAACAGCCTTGCCTGAATTCAGTGTTGGCCCTGCTTCGAGCAAGTGGTTGGACTAGATGACCTTGAGTCCCTTGCAACCTGAAAGGATTCTAGGGTCATTTAGTAAATAAAAATCTTCTTGTTCCTTCATCCATTCACACCTATATTCATACAAAGGACTTTCAAGAGTTAATTTGTTGCAATAAAATGCTTAAAGTATAATTTCAATATAAAGCCTAATATACAAAGTAACCTAGATCCTAAGGAGACAAAAAGAAGTAAATATAAACATAAATATAAAAAGTAATACTCACTGTTACTCGTTGGCTCAGGAAACCCAACATTCTGGCCATTCCAACTCTTATTATCTCCGAGCTGGAATAGGTAGAAAATGACAAGTAAGTAAAGGGCAAACCATACTTTAAACAAAATACTCAGATTTAGAAAAAAATCTGAAAAGGATGACTTGGTATGTGTATCTTAATTTTGGTCTAAAATAGGTTATTTGAGGATTGTACTCTTCATGAATAAACATTTACAACTATTGCCCAACACTGAAACATAAATGTTTCCCCAAGCATCAGACTCAGCTCAGTATGTTACCCAATCATACTCAGAATCAAATATTTTACGCAACAGAAGCAACAGAGAAATTACATTTTGAAATGAGAAGAACCTAATATCTGTCTGTGAAGGAATGCATAAACACCATAAAGTACTTTGGGTATAATTCTAAAATATTTACTCACTAGGAATCCATTTAGTTCTTTGATTGCTTCCTGAAGTGGAAGCAATACGGACTCCCACAATTTTCCATTATTTTAATATATAGATCTTTTTTGAGGAGGCTAATTGCCTGCAATTGGATTTCATTAAGTTTAACACTGGGTATCATTCTGACACAGAAAAAAACAATTAACATGTAAGTTCAAGACATGGCCATCCCGGAAGTGAAACACAGGCAAGATAAAATAGCAGTGTTCACCTTAGCTTCACAGAACTGCTCTAATTCTTACCATGAAGTAGGCAAAAAGCATACTGGAAAACACAGGACTGATAGTTCTTCAAATGCATAGACAATATGAAAGCTGTAAGGACTCCCGTACTGACTGCTGTCTGTTAGACAGCACGGCTTCACCGTGAAGCCAGAACACAGGAGGACAATCGGCCAAGCGCACTACCAGGGTACGAAGAATAACATCTCCAACTCCACTCCTCTCTTTTGACTGTTCATTAACTTTATCAAGATGGGGAGCTTAACAACAATTCATGGATCGGCAAGCCAGCCTTCGTGCTGTTGTCTCACACATAGGCCATCTACTTAGGCATATTCCTCCCAAGGAAATGTCAAGATGAAAAGATGAAAGCGTGAAAAACTGAGATTATTACAACTCTCCAATTCTACCCACAGAGCTAAAATTCTCATAGCTGTAAAAAAAAAATAATAATAATCCCAAATTCTCAAATTGCTGTCCTCAGGGCTTGGCACAAACACTAGTAAATTATTCCAAGAATCTGATTATTTCAGAAAAAGGGCAGAGTTTTTATTGTTTTTACATTACTTGGAGTACCTGTACTGCCCTCAGCAACATGCATTGCCCCTGTAATGTAGCACTCCTAACTCTTCATTAAAATGATGAATATGGTCAAACTCCAAGCATCAGGGAGGTGAGGAAGATACACTGAATTTGATTCTGCCTCTTTTGTGTGAGGGAAGGAAGGGATGAAAGGATTCAGGAAATAAAGAGGAAAAATGAAAGTTCTCTTTTTATATGCCAAGTAGATATGTCCAGCTGATCTACTTTGGGGACCCATTTGTGATTTAAAGAGAGAAATACCTTATAACCTATCTATAATCTATAAACTATCTCTATTGTGCTATTTATATGGAAGAAATTCTGCAATGGTCAAACTGATAGAGGTCTAAGGGCTGTTTCCCTTCTTCTCTGGCCCTGGACATGTTTTGGCTGAGGAGATCATCCCGAGCAGATTTTGCCTAACAAGCTCCCAGACTGCGCTGACTCTCAAGGGAGGCTTCAACAATTTTCAATATTGAATTCAAGCGCCCTTCAGATCACTCAGAAGAATACATTTCATCCACACTATGTACAGATACAAAACTGCAGGTCTGTCAAAAGAAATAAAGTCAGGCAATACAAATTTAATCCACAAAAAAAGTGCCAATGTATTTTGAACTAACAAGGTGAATTTTTTTTTGATTATTTTGTTTCAGGGGGTGTTAGCATTGTGATTTGGTAATAAAAATCTCAAACACAGATTCAATTTATGCTGGAACAAAGAACTACCGTTAACGCTACACGTAGGGAACGCGGCTTACTAAATTGCTTTAATCTATCCAGAGTAATTTGAGCAGCTGCCTTAAAAGTTGTCTAGTATATGCAGAAGATGAGACTAGATGTTCTAATGATATCTTCTGTCCTTGACCCCAGTGACGCTATAAACATTTGTTCTAGTGTCTTGAATACTCATAAAATTGGAGTAGTTCACATTTCGTGTATCATGTTTGCTTATTATGTTCAGAGTAATACTAGGATGTTACGTTATGATTTATTCTATTAATTCCAAAGTCTCTACTCCTGCAGAGCATGTAATTAGGCCTATTTTCTTGAAAACTATGTACTTGGAAGCATAGGCTAATAAATATAGGAAAGCAAAGCAGCAGCACCCACTCCTATCCACCCCGTTCTTTTTAATGATTTCAATGTAAACCATGAGTTTCCACTGTGCATAGCTCTCCAATGTGGGCTGAATTTTTTCAGGCTTTATCTCTGAGAATTACCGAATAAAAATAGTTCAGCTAGTTTGAAATTCAAGACTGAAAAACTACATTTTCCTATCATAAAATAAGTTGACTTTTCTGGTTTACTTTTTGAAAGGCCCTTCAGCCAATTTGGAGGGGAACAAAAAGTTGAAATTGGCAGAAAATAACTTTGACAGGAGAGAAGTTCCAGTATTCTGGTGAAAATGAGTTTTTACTTGATTCTCTGGTAATGACTGCACAGTGTGTTCTCACTGAGAATACCATCTAGTCTCAAAGTACTTGGTTTCAGGTCCTGCACCTGAGTCCTTTGAGGCTAGATGGTTTAAGATACGCAGTGGAAGATGCAGTTCAGGGCATGTGAATATTTTACACAGTTCCTCCTTTCAAGGGAAGAGGTGACAGAAACAGGGGTAGCCAACCAGCAAGTATAGCATTTATCTCTGCCTGGCTAAAACAGGTATTTCTTGAGAAAAAAAAACAGAAAAGCATATGGAACCAAGTATCTTCATATATACAAACATACATATACACATATAAAAGTGTGTGTGTGTATATATATGTATACATACATTTTTTTTCTAAATGGAAGTCACCACTGAGCCACTACTCTGAAAACTGACTACAGTACTATATGTACACAGGTTTATTCTGTGAGCCCTGTGAAGCCACAGCAGAGCCCTGGGTTGAGCTGAACCAGCTAGTGCAGTCACAGTGAAGAGGCAGCTGCCATCAGAATCTCTGTGTTCGTGCATCTGCCAGGAGCTGTGCTGAGTCTACTGCTTAGCCAAACACCTTGCCCGGGTCTTTCCAGGGCACATAAAGCAAAGTCTGAACACTCCCATTTTGTCAGTTGGGTTTTTCAATAAACCCGAGAGAGGTGAGGACTGCTTCGCTGTACTTCACTAGCACAGAAATGCATACCTGCAACACAAATGAATTGAAAAGGTAAACTGTTCCTTCACCTCAAAAATCACTCACACGTTTTTCTTGGCCATTATTTTTCTGCAATGCTTTTGGTCTACATGCAGTAGACTAGACAGTACAACAAACATCTGTGACTACTTCACATATGAATACTAATAACATCATGTATACAAATTAATAATGCAGGACTTCCCAGTTTCATAAGAGAAGAAACATCCTACCACAGAGACCAAAAATGGAATAGAAGCAGCAGGCATGTGTGTCTTAATTGTTTTAAGTAGAGATATTTGCATGTGTGTCATAAATATGCATTTTTGCACACACGCTACGGTCTTGGAACTCCATTTCTGTTCTTAATTACTCCAAGGAGCACAGGCTGCCCTCCCTATTGACTGTAGTTACAGAGTTGTAGCCGAGTGAGGAATAACCCCCCAAATACAGCACAGTAACACTGGGTGCACATATTTAAGGTTCTGTTTTTACTATATTGATACAGCTAAGTGGACAAAGGGTAAAACGGTGCCATCAAAACAGCTGGTTCTCACCTTTTCTGTCTGGTCTTGAAGAGGAGTAGAGGCTTTATAACCAAGCTGTAGCAACATAGCTTCTGCTGCATTTCTTTTAGCTATTTTCTTGTTTGGGCCTGTTCCAGTAGTAACCTCATTACCTACTTTTACCTTAAAAACAAAATATTGATCATAAACATGATAAGTACGTGACCCTTCAATATCACCACACAATAAACCTGCTGACCTCCCAAGAGCTTTACGAGTCCTTTTCGTGAAGATGCAGTCTCCAAAAAATAAGAATAGTGCAAAAGGGAACCAGATGATCTTTGGAGGTCCCTTCCAACCTCAATCATTCTGTGATTCTGTGATCTTGTAACTACAGGGCTGCTTCCCACAGGCGAGCTTGCTTGGATGTTTTAGAAGATCCCCAAACTTGGAGCAACAAGCTCTTTTTCTGCTTATCTATGGGGCACCAATGGAGTCCTCTCCCTCCTACCAGCCCCATTTCTCTGCCGGGTATCCCCGGCTCTTGCCCTCAAATCTTTTTCAAAGGAGAAGGTGCTACAGGATCTGAGCTTCCTCTTTTCCTTGTAGAAGAGGGGCCTGCAGCAACTCCCCAGCACGACCACGACAGTATCCAGAACAAGGGAGACACAACAAATGACCTGGGAATTTAAAAGATTTAAATCTTTTAAATCTTTGTGGTTTCTACAGAAAGATGATACACAGATGTATAAACTTGTGCATATTCCTGCCCCTGAGTGGCAGAGTGAGACACGGGGGCAGGGACCCAGGGGAAGAAGCGCAAGGAGGACACAAGGCCACGTCCTTCCCCACTGCTTGTCCCTCACCTGCTTTCACCAAGACATGACTTGGAAAGTTGGCCCCTCGCTGGACCTGTAGGTTTTTGGACAAGCAAGATGCTTTTCATAAAACTACAAGTTAAAATCTAAAAATGAAGATGTATTGCAGACAATACATCCATCAAGAATGTGGCTATATTTATTCTTTGGGTTTGGTACCCAATGTATGTGCCTCATCTGTGCGTGATACTAGCTCTGTCATTTGTGTTTGTTTGCAGAACACTCATAGCTCTTTAATAGCTACGTGTCACTCGGTGCATTAAGCCATTGCATTTGCTGAATTATCTCTAAAAATAGTGGACGGTTTCAAAAGCATGTTTAAAAAGGAAATCAAAGTAAAATAAAAACAATACATCACACAAGGCAATCGGCACAAAGGAAACATTACAGGAAAAAGGGCTGAAATATTCTGGAAGGAGCTTTAAAAAAATTAAACAGACACATGCTTGTTAAATAAAAATGCGTTATTTAACCTTTGTTATTCAGTAATTATTGACCTTCATAAAATCCAAAAAGTTTAGTTATTGTTTTATTTCAAATACAATTAACTATAAATAAAAAAGAAATGTAAATAAATAAGAATGACTGTAAATATCCCTTGGAAATAAATATATACATAACCAAACAAAAAGATTCTGCCACAAAACAGAAATATTAGTAATCATGAAACAAACAAAAAAATTCTTTTATGCAGAATTTATGAATTTCTAGTCATGCAATCATGACTAGAAAACAGACAATCTGCTGCAAATTTGCATGCAATAAAATTGAAGGACTTTAATGGGACAAAACAAAATGATGATTTATAACAGAGCTTACACTAAATCAATGTGCTGCTATTTTTCGGACCTGTAAAACTGGTTCAGCTATTATTATAACCTCTATCAAGGATTAAAGGTCTGACTACAAAGAGAAGGAGCTTTCTGAAATTGACTTTGGGAACAGAACACCAACTAATGTCATCAGAGGTTTTCTGCTGTTTATTTAGTGGTAAGGACAAGTAATTGGATCCATTTCATCACATCTAAACTTGCTCTTTGTGTGACAGATAAAAATGAACATATTATCTCTGGATATTTTACTTCCACATTCAATTAAATTAAATGAAAACATTGTTTAAGTAGTTTATAGAAAGGCTTTTTATTCTGATAAGGTTTTTTTTCGAATGTCATAATGAATCCACTGAGACTTCCTGAAGACAGGGAAACACCGGAATGATTCCAGTGTATAAATATGAAAGAAGTTTAAAAATCAGGCTACATTATTTTAAAGTGCACATAATAATGCAACTGATCTATGGAATTTCTTTGATTCTCCCTTTCACAAGTCTTTTTAGATAAAGGAACCTCCTATGTATTAACTTCCTGCAAGTTTATTTTTTGATTCAGACCAATGATTACTGTTTTTGAGAATCCTCCAAGGAAGGAAGAAATTCTCTGCCAATCATTGCACAGCCATTTCCTGAGACCTCAAAGAACCCCCTCAGATCATGGACTCCCCTAAACAAAGCTGAGCAGGGAAGGAAAAATGGTCTATGACAGGATCACTCTTTTTCAAATACTTTCAAATCACATAATAAAGTTGGATATCCAAATCTATATTGTCGATATTTATATGCAGATTCTGTAACAATAGCTGTAGACAGAAAAAGAACCCCAAAATTTTCTTACAGAAAAATATTAAAGAAGAAAAATACTAAATTCTCAAGAAAGAACATTTGAGATTCAAAGATCCGAAAATCTAGATAGGCATTAAAGATGGATTTAAAGATTTAGGTGAAAATATAACTGATTTTCTAGAAAAGGAGGGGCTGGGACATTAAATTCTGCTTGTGATCAGAAGTGACATTTTGGTGTGGTTTGTAGACAACAAGTCAAAACATGTTCTGCTATGCTGTTCTGAACCGTTCCCGCACAAAGTGACCTCAGTGAAAACACACATACACACACACCAAAAACAAAACCACAAAACACTTCAGTCTTGCTTAGCCTGACGTTGTGCTAGCTACTCAAATATCACAGCCATATTAAACCTTTGCAAATGTTCTTAGTTTAAAAATTAAAGGACCATTAAGGATCTGTTGTTTCTCCATTAGGCCCAGGACCTTTCACTGCACAGGCTAAAGCAGGTGATAAAAGACTTTTTGTGGCATTTCAGGTATTAGCAAAGCCACGGAGAGAGGGGAAGTCTGGAGGGACTCACAAGGTCCTACAAGATTTACAACACAGAGGAATCAGCTCTGTGTTATGCCACATTTTTGCCTTCAAACATAACTGAACAAGAGAACGGCCTCTAATGCAACAGCAGTTTTTACCTGCATAACAAACTCCCGGCGACGAGGCATTCCTCTCTCCGAAAGGAGGACGTACTCTGGCTCCTTCTCCTTTTTGGCCTGTTGGATCTGAGCCAGGCGGCTGATGGGATTCATTCCCTGACCATATTCTGGTCCGGTCTAAACAAAAAAAAAAGATTGAAAGAAAACCATGATTTTAGCATATGTCGCTACAGCTGTTATAGTGTTTGGGTAAAGCTTGTACTGCACGTCCTCTCTTCGCTAAGAATCTGTTTGAAGGGAACAAGAAATAAATAAATAAATTTCCTATCATGTTCAGATCATGCCAGAGAAGCTGAGGCTCCTCAGGCTCACAACTGCAGCAAGCGCCACGCGCCGGCCGCCCACCTCTGCTGCGGGCAGGCTGCAGACCCGGCCGGGGCTAACCCTGGCTGTCCTGGCTGCCCTGCTTCTGTGACCCTTGCCCCCAGCCCCTTAAAACAGCTTGCTACGACGGTGCAACGTGTGGCGCATTACGGGGGTGGAATTACCCAGGGTACAAAGATTTGCCATAAAGCAAGGAAGTCGTCACTTCCCTTGGGAGTCCGGCTTTCCATGCTGCAAAGGAATGGAAGCTGCAGGGGGATGCTTGTGTGCCACAGGAATAAACCCTTGCAATGCTGCTGTGCTCTGTGGAAAAGAGGAGGGAAGCACCCACAGCACCTATCCCTGCTATGCTCCGTGAGCCACCTACAGAAGGACCCCAGAAAACTCCCAAGTTTTGTAGGCCTCACAGTCAGCACGTGTTGCCCTGATGGGATGAGGTAAACCACAGGAAAAAATACAAAATACCTGTAACAAGCCGTGAAATCTTTCTAGTATGTTATGTATAAGGTTCCCTCAAAGCATATAGGTATCAAAATACTTGGTTGCAGAAAGTAAGGAGAAAGAATTAAGACAAAAAATATTTATGTGACATCATATATGGCTAATTCATACATCATAATGCATAAGAAAGAACTTATGAACATAAGTTGAATTTGAAGATAGAATTGTTTTTATATTTTTATGCCTTTTTTATGAAGGCATTTGCAGAACCAGAGAAGATCAGATGTCATGTTTCTCAAAAAAAGAATAAGTGGGTAGTCAAGACCCTCAAGAGAAGAGCAACTGAAATAATGCACAAGGAAGAACTTATAAACATAACTTGAATTTGAAGATAGAGTTGTTTTTATATTTTTATGCTTTTTTTTATGAAGGCATTTGCAGAATCAGAGAAGATCAGATGTCATGCTTCTCAAAAAAAGAATAAGAGGGTGATCAAGACCCTCAAGAGAAGAGCAACTGAAAAGAAGACCAGAGAGGGAAAATACATTTAAAAAGTTGTGTAGCAAATCTTTCATACTGTAATCACCAAGGTGTTTGAGAACACACAGGTGAAAATATCAGGACAATGTCATGCAGAAGGGCAGCTGCATGGGCAAGGAGCCAGGCAGAGGCAAAATGAAGAGCAGGCTAAATAGAGTGCAGGCAATACAATATAACCTTGCCAATATATACACACAAGTTGTTTTCATTTTCGTATTTTAAAAAGTCACTTTTCTTCAATGCTCGAAGTACATTCAGATTATGGAGGTTTGGATATTCAAAAAATAAAGACCTTCTGCATATACACATTTTGACTATTAAGGCCTGTTCCTAATGTGGTCAATTTTGGCCAAATTAATTTAAGATTGTGATGGTATATGGCAATTATATGGATATGGTGATGTAAGAGATTTTGCTGATTATATTCGATCTAACTCTACTTAGCATGTACTTGAGCCATATTTACCAAAGTGAGACAGCCAGACAGCATCAAATTCCGCAACACTGTCTTCTGACTTTCAGGTCTTGACCCTTTAAAGCTGCGTTAATGCTGACAAGTTTGCATTAAATATATATTTTATATATATATGGGTGTATATATATATGTAGCTAAAATTCTAAAAGTGTTTGGAAATTGGTTGCCTAGAATTTCAGTATGAACTAGATATATAATTAGCCTTGATTTCTTTGAAAAATATCTCATTTGAAGGCAAATGAAAAGAGGAAGAAGACTCGGGAAGGACTTTGTGGGATGGCAAAATCCAGTTTTGCCCTTTCCAAAGTGTTCGCTTATTTTAGATGATTTTCCTGCTAGCTCCTACGCAATCCTGCACTCAGAGCATCCTTCACTGAACACAGAGGTTTCTAATAAACATATCTTTGTTCAAATCAAGTATGTATTTATTTACAAATTACAAGTTTTTTTTTTTTTTTTTTTTCAAATTAAAGCAGCAATACATCCACTGTCATGGAGAAAAAAAGCACCATTTAAGAAACCTGAGCTTAGAAGAATCCAGAGACTCTAAAGGAATCTTCAGCAGTGCAGAAAGAAACACACTAACATCCTCTGAGACAAGGCATATTTTAATGTAGGGATGGTTCAAAGTCATCAAGTCTTTAATCAGACCCAGGCAATTTTCTATCTTTTTGAGAGCTATTGAATGTTATCAAACAAATACTAACCTCAACATAGGCATATGAAACAAACAAGTACTTTTCTTTGGGGCTTGAGAAGTGATACACTCAGCTGAGATGAACAAACTGCTGGGCTTCTTTCAGCTCTTTTGACAATCAAAATGAGGCTGAACCCACAAAACTCCTAAATCCAGCTCCCTGAGGGGACGAAGCTGGACTGTGGACTATGGACATTTCCCTATGTATCTGCTCTTTCATATATCTTGCTCTTTAAATGAAACCTTTGTGGGAATGAGTAGGGGAGACAGGAGCAGGGAGAGAGCCATCATATACTCCAGAAGGGCCTCCCAATGGAGTTGATGCCAGAAATTCACACAAATGTGCAGCAATTTTCTAGAGGTTTATCCTCCACGACACATCTGGACAAACTCCTGCATGTCCCAGGGATGTCAGCTTGAGTAGAGATAGCACCCTACAAGCAATTACAGGTGAAAACTTCACAGCATTCTTAGAATTTAAAAAGGTACATGTGACAAAAAATGGCTAATGAGTCTTTCCCAATTTGCATTTTGAGTAATTCTGTTCCTTCCTAAGCAGATGTTCCTAATTTTGGCACACAGGCAGACACCCACCTTCAATATTGTTTTGGGGCGCTTTTTAAAGTACAGCTTGGGCTTTTCAATCACAGGAAGAGGAGGAAGTTTCTTAAGCTCCTGCAGGACAGCCATTGCAGCACGTTTCTTTGAGAGCTTCTTACTGTTCCCTTCTCCTTCTGCTGTGAATTCTCCTACGGTAACTCGTGTGACGAAGCTCTTCATGTGAGGAGGTCCACTTTCTTTAATCACCTGTTGAACAGAAGTTACACTGAGTCAAAGCACCCTGTAAGAATACAACTTGGTTATTAACTTCACTCTGCCACACACGGCATCTACTACTAATGTCACCTTCCTGCTCATTGAAGGCATTCATAGGGGGCTTCATATAATCTGGACGAGTATTAATGAGACTATCAGGTTTGAAGATATAAAATTAAGGCTGATGAGGGTAAAACAAGTTTAAAGATCCTATTCAGTCCTTCACAGAACATACAGTTTACAGCAACACAGAACATATTTAGACCAAGGCAAGCACAGTTTTCCTTGCAAGGCACTTCACATACTTTAATTCATCAAAGGCCACCATACTCAAGCTAATTCTCTAGGTACAATATTCAGAATTATGTTCATAAGGCTTCACTTTAATCTGCTCTTTTTTTTTTTTTTTTCCCATCACCACAAAAAACACGGATGTTCACGCAAGGTCCCCAGCTTCAGTCTCACACAGCAGCCCTTTTCCGCCGGCCAGGCTCCGGCAGCCTGGCTGCTCTCCACGCTCCCCTGCCAGGGCAGACAGCGTGGAGCGACACCCTGCACGTGTGACAGGGTGACAGGGTGCCCCAGCCCAGCCTCCCAGATCAGCAGCCGGGCCTCCCAACAGCTCTGACGGGACAGAGCCACAGAGCCCCCGTAACCCACACACAGAAAGCAAACAGCTCTGCAAGGTTTAATTCATACATTCTTCTCCAGACTTGTTCAGGATGAAAACCAACGAAAGCACCTGCTTTAAATACCTCTTACCTATTAAAAGTTAAAATATTATCACGACATAAAACAAAGAAGTTCTGACTGGTGTATCTTCCTTGAGCTCTTTTCCATCTTCACCTTTCCACAAAATGAGACTTCTTTTAGAAGGTTCAAGCACGAGGGCACATTTACTAACAAATTACAGCAGTGCTAGCACTAGCAAAGCCACCTATTCACGCACGTACTGCTCTGGGTAGCACCTCTAAGGTACTAGAGACCTCATTTGTGAAAAGGTTCCCTTATTTTTGTCCATGAGGAAGAGGCAGCTCCCTAATTTAATTTTTGCTATGTAACGTGTCCAAGAAGAGATCACAATTTCTGAGAGGCCCCTCCTCATGTTAACCTCAAAACCAATACAGACACACGCTTTCCAGCAGGTGCATTAACATCAAGCCACATAATGAGGAAGAGCAATTCCCAAGAGAAAGGGAACGGAGGCAACGCTGCTAGGGTGCTCTTGGTGCAACAACTGTGTTTTTACGGGCAGAAACTCTCAACCTTAGTATTATTGCAACGTGTTTTGTATTAACGTTCTTTTTATCAAGGTCATGTCCCGAGCATTATTTAGTTTTGCCATTACACTGTAATGAGGTCTCCTTAGGCTTGTATTTCTTTCTTAAGCTCTCTTTTGTGGCAATTCCGCCCGGCAAATACAATTATCACAGCATACATCAATAAAAAGACACAAAATGAAAATTAACAGCAAACTTCGCCCATGCTTTCCCAGAATAAGACGACGTTTGTGCCAGCATGGGATTTATTCGCTGTACCCTAGGAGTGTTCTTATGCTGAGTTCCAAGGTGAAAATCTCACAAGTTGTTTCAAAATGACATCACTTAGAAGTGGCCCGTTAGTGCCGCGCTCTCCTTGCCAGGTGGGGCTGGCGCTGCCTTCGGCGGGAGTCAAGAACCAGCGCCAGGACCACCCGCTCCCAGGCTCCGTAAGGAGGCTCCGGATGGGAGCAAAGCACCTCCACCCCCTCCTCGAAGGTGCATCTCAACTTACGACCGTGTGCTGCTCTCCGAGGGCTGCAAACCGCCTCCACAGCACGGCCAAACCAACGGCAAGACTCCTCATCTCCTTGTGATTACGTCTTCTCAATACCCTTCCATAGGTGTTTTCACTTACGCGCAATGTAAGGCATTAATAAAATGCACAAGAATGTCTACACTGACCGGATGAAAAAGGACAAAGTAACTGTTTAGGGAATATAATTGTCACCCTTCTAAAATTACTGGGTTTATGTACGTTTTCTCATATATATGAATGCGCACAAATATATACAGGAAAAAAAGAATTTTAATAGGAGATTGTATTTTCATACACATGAAAAAAATAAACCTTAATATAAAACTAATGTTTTCCGGTGTTTTTAACCTTTTAAACTTTTAGGTGTGTGACACAAGGTAAATAATTTCATGGAGAACATTCAAAACTGTGTTTCTGTTAAGAGTGTAAATGAAAAAATATTTGTGTTGTCCATGGAACGAATCCCATAGGCTTCGCACAGGCTCCAGATCAAGCACAATATCCAAATTTGGTAATTTAGAAAAAAAACATTAATCAAGGACCACTTCTGGTTAATCCCAGATTTTAGATCCTTTTATACCATGTGATTTCAAATAGTTGATCTACAAACGCAGGGACACGAAACACTAAGAAGAAATTCAGTCTTTACTACCCAAGAACACTTTGTATTAGTTCACTAAACCCTTTCTTCAGCTGAAAGATTCAACCAAATCACAGCTAATTTAAAGCTGAGAATTTGATTAAGGGTGACAGTTCAATATGCTTTTCTTTTTCTGTTCCCCTGATTTAAAGAATAACTCCAACAAGAGAAAACACACAGGGCCAGAACACGTCAAGTTACATCAAGAGTGAATTTGGCTCAATTTAACAAATCACGCTGACAAATGGAAAACACCAGCACAATTACCATGAAAGAGTAATGTTGCTTCAATTACTACCAAGAGCACAGGTAGAGAATTCAACAGATTTTGACAACATTAAGTGGACTTAAAAAAAGAAAAAAAAAAGACAAAAATAGGTCAGATAAAACATGTGACCTATGTGCATGACTATTTAGAATTTTAAAAATACCGATGTATTTTCATGAGCTTGTGCCAACTGACAGACATGCAACAGTTTACAAGAAAACAAAAAAAAGTGAGAGAGAGCCTGGATAGTGCATTAAATACGGAGGGAAGAAGGTCGGCCTCCCTTCATCCAAAATTAGGAGGAGGGCTACCCAATAAGCCCCTAATCTACTCTGAAAGCCTTAATTGCCAGGAGAGCAGCAGCCAGAGGGGTGTGAAACTTTATGCCAAGGACTTGCTCCGTTTTTCAAAGTCAGCAACTTCACAGTCAGCGCCTAGTTCAAAATGCAGAATTTGGGCTGGTGTCGCTACACTAAGACTGGAACACGGTCAACTTCAACTCTTTTTTTCCCCAGAAGAGCAGAGCGGGCAGAAAAAATGCTTGTTCAGGCCCTACATTTCCTCAACCCGAGTACTGAGGAGGAGGAAAAGGATTATTGTAATTGGTCTTCTAAATTCTCCAGGATCCTGAGTGACTCCCCCTGGCAAGGCAGGTGGACTGAAGCCCACGCGCTCTGTTTCGAAGGACCCACTGACATTATCGTGCAAGAGCCGGGCTCTGCATGCTCGCCCTGGTCCCCACCTGTTATGCAACTCTGAAAACATGTTTACATAGGACTGCACGTATCTTTATGACCACTGCCTGGTTGCATAACACAGCACTGTTGGAACATTCGTCAGATGGAGAAAAGGCTGCTCATTTTATAGCTACCACACACACACATTAAAAAAAAAAGGCTAAAGAAAGCTTTGAAGCAGGCCTGGAATAACACAAAACCATTTGTAAAAAGAACCCGATTATAAACATCAGATCCTGTGATTATTCAGTAGTTTTATTGAAATATAAGCTATCTTTTAATACCTAAGTCAAACCAGAACTCTATTTAAGAACATCGCCCCTACTTCAAGACAGGAAATAACACAAAACCTGTTGGGAGAGCAAGAACTGTCTTTTTTCAGCATTTTATAAAAGAGTCTCATTAGACTTTAGACACTTTCCTCTACTACCATCGTTCTGTCCTCACTAAATGCTGTCTCTTCAGGAGGCTAAAACATTGGAACGAGGTTAAGGATATACTCGAAGTACTATACCTCTTTCTTCCCACTTTCCAGATAATCTGTGATCCAAGCCCACTCATCTTTCTGTATTTTAGTGCTTTGAGTTGCATGGTACTATTTCAAATTCTTTTTAATATTTAAGGTAGAAAATGATTTGTGAAAACTGAAATGTTAATTATGAGTTTCATTTTCTGAAGCACTGACGTGAGTTTCCATTGTGTCTGCTTCTACATAAAAATTATACTAGGCTTTCCGTATAGTTGCAGATTGATATGGCAACACCTCCAATTCTACCCCTAAGATTTTACTTTCTCTTTGTTTTCTTATTAACCCATATTATATCCTTTTCCAATCATAGACCACCAAACACATGTCCATTTGCTATACTTCATATATATGTACGTATGTATGCATAGGTGTGCTTATATACACACAGGGGTAAAAATATATATACATTGAAGTGTATATATACATATAATATATAACCACAGTCAATAAAATAATTCTATAGCTTTGGCCTCCTGACTACTGTATGATAGTTCACACTCAGATTTCTAAAAAGGTCTAAACAGCTCATTTGACATTTGCCAACTCATGGAAATGGGTTGGGCACATTTAAGTAAATCGCATACACCATGCTACATCGCAGTGTATTTTTTGACATGTCAATATGTGTATGTACTTCACGTACAAAAAAAATCTGGAGAAAATCACCACTATCAGTAGAGGCACTACCAATGTCCTTCAAAAGTATTCAGTAGAAGTGTATAACAAAAAGCAGAAATTAAAACCCAGCAACTGTATATTATCATTTAGAACAGGATATTTGACATTTAAATGACAATTAAAACTTAAAATTTGTTGGATTCTACAATAATAAGATTAGATTTTTACAAGCAGCTTGTATAAACTTTTCTCATTGGCAAAATTCTGTTACTATTACTCATCCTACCATAGTTAAATTATTGATTGTACTGGAGCTGTTCCAAAAATTCTTTATTACTTAAGGTAAATAAAGGTGTCAGAGCAGGTTCATAGATAAATCTGTATGAAATGTGAAAAAAGAAAAATCATGGCGGCTTAAGTGGAGATTGACAAGGCACTGAACATTGTGCAAGACAAAAATACACCTATGAGTTTCTGAAAACGGCACTAAAGATGTGAAGTGTCTCAGTGGGAACTTCTGCAGTGTGCCCATGCCTTACAAAAATCTCCTCTAGCTACAGCAAACATCTCAGCTGACTCCATTTTGAAAAACGATTTCAATTCAGATCGAACGTGGCCACTGATACAGGGGAGTTTGAACAGTCTTCCTGTCATTCACTGCTTACCAACCAAATGTTAGGTCTATATTGCTCTGACAGACAAACTCATATAATAGTAGAAATTCAGTGTCTTAGGTTAGTGTACTACCAGTGTGTTAGTCTTAATATATTAGCGTATTAGCCTTAGTGTATTACCAAACATTTCTATTCATAATCTGCATTAATTTCAGAAGTGTCATATTTCTGATTATTGTTTTTAATTTTACTGAATTTTAGTGGTAGGGTTTTTTTAAAACTCTTTCATAGCAAGCAAATAAATATGTAAACACATACCTCAAAACTGACAGGTATATTGCGCTTCAAAGCAATTTCAAACACTACACTTATCTCAGACTTGTTTGCATCTTTATCTTCTTCTGTTTCTTTTCCTGCTTCTCCATTCTGAAAAATGAATACAATATGACCATAGGAAAATATTTTTAGAAGACAAAATAATTAAACACGCTCTTCTCCCAAAGCTGCATAAATTCAGTCATACTTCATATTGCTCATACTGAAGGAACACACAGACATTGACTCCTAGGTGGCAAAGTAACTTCTATTGATTTTAGGCTTACTAATAACATGGGTAATCATCACCACAGCACATGGCTGGTGTCTGACTATTAACGTGACTATGAAAACCCCTTTCCCAGGCTCCCCTCACGGGTACCCCTTCCAAGGAACAGGCGAGCGCCGGACTTCTCACACGGGAAATTCGGCGATTCGCCCCTACGCTTGGACGGGGTCACCAGGTTGCAGGTGTCCTCAGCAGGTCCAGCTGGTTAATGGCCCCTCCACGGCCTTCCCTCTGGGAGATTTGACCAGTATGAAAAGGTAGTGACAGAGAACAGCTTGCTCAACACAAAACATTATTTATTTATCCATAGGAACATAACAAACAGAGAGGATAAGGGATAAAACAACAAAAGGAATATATCAACATTAAATCTAACTAAAATTCAGCTTTGCTTTGCAATTTAGGTAAGTCCCATTTTTCTCAGAAAGCCACCAGTATGGGGACCAGTCAACCAACTATCACCTTCTCCAACTTCTGCCTTTTAGTCTTTGACCCCAGGCCACATTCTCCCTGGTTCTCAAAGGTTTAACTTTCAGCTCCTTTCAAACATGAAGCCCTGAAGGTTTCCAACTGAGATTGCTCCACAACCTTGTTGCCTTGGCCGAACTGATTTTTTATTAGAGGAGGTAAACATCAAACCAATAGGGCTGAACTAGGTGGATTCCTGCAGAGTTTCAGCCTTGTATAATAAAGACTGATATAAATCTTTACCCAGTAGTATAAATACAAAGTCAAGATACTGAAGTTATAAAATAACATTAAAACATTAAAAAAAACAGTTCTTCACAATAACAATGAAAATTATCAAGATTTTATATACTCTTTGTTAATTCTTAATCTTTAACACAAAGATGGACCAAAATACAGCAGAAGCAGGCAACCTGAATAGAGAGACATGAAAGGCCTTTATTTCATTATGTGTTCACAAAATTTTGCGTGGAAAATGCAATTTATTTCCCCGCCAGGAATATGGAGCTAAATACAAAACAAAAGATTGATAAACTATGCAGAAGCTGCCAGAAATAAAGGGTGCAGTACTAAGCAACAGCAAGGGGAGCCAGAATGAAATAACGAAGCATCTCTGGCTCATTTCATACAACGAAATGTAAAGTACTACTGAAATCAAGGGTGTGCGTCATTATTTATAGGACAGGCAAAGCAGTGATTCAGTAAAGGACTTCAGTTCACAGAGAATAATCAACTGAACAGAGATGAAAGGATGGCATTTAAAAGCACACGTGTATTTGGAGATTATAACAAGTATCAAACAGAAACTGTGGGATACTATTATCACTATAAACAACTGCAGTGAGAACCTTAGTTAATATCGTATTCAATTAAGCTTGTGTTTTATGAAGAAGGCTGATAATCAGAAAAACAGAGAAAAGCAGGTGTAAGAATGAACTATTGATTGGACAAAGCACTTTACACTGGTAGATTATGGACACAATCTGTTATACAAGAACATTTAAAAGTTACTTGAGCATAACTGATAAAACTTATGTGGGGAAGAGTTTTTTTTAAAGTCATTTCTTAGGTTTAATAATGACATGAGAAGATCTATTAGGCAGAAATAAAAGCTGAGTAAATTTAGAAGAAATACAATTTATCTTCAAAAGGGAGAACAATCAATCACTGGTAGAAGTTCCATAAAATTATAGAGGGTCCACTGGACTGTTACTAAGTCTTTAAGTCAAGATCTTTTTAGGTTGTACTCTGGCTTAACCACATGTGCAGAGTCTAATGTAGAAACTGCTGTTTAAAATGCCATGACTAATACAAACACATCACTCAACAAATCCTTAAATGCCCACTCTTAAAATTTCAGTCCTTGCCTATTCTTCTGTCATTAACGACAAAGCCTAAGTGAGTGGAGACTATGGAGGATACACCCCTAAGGCCTAGACCCTAGCACTGAGCAATAACGTTTCAAGTGTTAATCATCTAACTCCCCTCACTTCGGAAAGATAAAATATGTCCCAGAGTGTCTAAGGTGCTCTGGACTTAAATTTGATCCTCATTCCAGAACTGACACTTTAATTGCACGGCCCTTCTTAGGCCTCTGGTCCTACAAGGCAGCAGAGCTGCTTTGGCAGACATACAATAGTTCTTTTATGAAAGCAAGTCACCTATACCCCTGCTCTGTTTGCTGTTTGTTTCTTGTTTCTGTTCACCTTATGCTTTCCACACACTTGTGCAAAGAAATATTAAAACAATGTTTTTCTTCAATGTTCTACTATGGGAAAAAAATTTGCATTTGACTTGCTTAGTTTTAAAGAATGAAAATCTTGGTATCTCTCGATGAAAGAATATAAATAAATATGCATGAAGCGAACACAATTGTGTAGATCAAAAGGCAAAACCACATGTATACTGTGCTATCCGCCAGGGATCTCGTTCCAGCGATGTTCTTTTCATGACTAACAGCGTGCAGGGACAGACTGGGCTCAGTGGCTCTGTCCCTGCTCCCTGGCATGACTGGAAGCACCGTGGCAATAGGTGACTGGGGGAGAGCGAGGTTCAGCCAGCTCCATGGGGCCAGCTCTGAGCTCTAGCTCTGAGCTGTGTCTGAGGAGCCTGGTGCAAATCTCGCACCTCCCACGCAGGTGCGGATCCCGCAGAGCAGTGCGGCTGCAGGGAGCACAGCTTTGGGGGGCTGCTCTTGGGCCCATGCTGCGGGCACGTGCCTGCACTCCGCAGCCCACGGGAGCTCCGTGCGTGCCTCATGTGGCCAGGGGCAGCCCCAGCCCCGCCTGGCAGAGTCCTTACACTGCTTCGACCCATCAGCCCGCTGGAGAGCTGCCCCCAGCGCCGCCACGGTGTCAGCATGGGTTCGCCTTCGCATGGGCCTTCACCCGCCTTCGCACGGGCCTTCACCCGCCTTCGCACCGGCATCTACGACTCGAATTCACAGGAGTGACGGAGCCTCCTCTTCATCACGGCACCTCTTCCCCTCAGCGTGACCAAGGACTCCTCGGTCTCCCACCCACAGACATCTGCCCCTTGAGATCCTGCAGGATCCTCCCTGGCTTCCTGCTGCTGCACCGGCACATCCCGGCGCTTCCCGCTGGTCGTGCCAGCGGAGTGTGAACACCTCGGCAACGCCAGGGGACCAGCTCCTGGCAATCCTGCCTCGTTTGCCTCCTTACACACACCATTTATGGTGGCAAAGAGAAGAACGAAGTTACTTTATTAGCTCAAGATAGAGAAAACAATGTGGACTGCTACAAGATTTAGGAAACTCAATTTGCCACAACTGCATCCTCTCCTAAAAGCTTACATATCCTAAGAGACATCAATCTAAACAGACACTAAATAGACCAAATTGGACATGAATATGAATTTAGGTTTCTATTACTTTGGCTAAGTAAATAAATGTTAGCCAGGTTTCACAGACAGAGGCTATGAAAACTAAGCATTTAAACCCATCTATCTTTTTATTATCCTACGCACATAGATAACAGTAGTTCACTTTCCATGCTGATTAGTGGACATTCAAGGATTCTTTTTTATAAAATAGAATATTATATATGTAATTTTCAAAATATAAGGATATGTTGATCTAAAAGCACAGTTCAAGAATATGACATTCCCTCTCAGCTCTATGCTTAGCATTCATCAACCTCTGTTTTTGTCTGGAAACCAGAAGAAAAAGGAAGGGAATTAAAAACAGGAAAGGAAATGAAGATTCTGCTTAAGACTTTACTTACATATTCATTTTAATAGCTTTTTCAGTTAAAAAAAAATCAATACTCATTTTAGTAAGTGATTTTAAAGAGAATTTCCTGATCCAGAAAAATGATATTGCCAAACCACAAGGGTGACTCAAACACTCTCTGGATAAAAAGGAACTCATTTGGATATAGGGTGAGGCAGATGGATGTGTTTTTGACATAGAAAATTATTTCCATTCTTAAAGAGCAGCTTGAAGCAACCACACAAGACAGTGAAGATGCTTTTAGTAATGCTTTGCTCTGGGCACAGTATTTCAGTAGGAGTCACTGGAAAAGGGAATACAAAAAAGGAATTGTCTCCTGATACATTTGTTCTGACTCATTTGGTTCATTTATTATTTTTGTGCTTTGAATTTGCAAAGAATAATTTTTCTGCAAATATATTTTCAAAATATAACACAACATTTTCATTTATAAGCAAAAATAAACACAATTTGCAAACACAACAGTGGGAAAACTACATATTCAAAAAGGGGCTAAGTGAATAAAAGCCTAAAACCATCTAACAGCTGTTCAGTAGCTATCACTAAGGTCATTCAGGCTCATAGAGGGACAAAGTCATCTCTGCTGTAAAGATCACATTCATGGCACAACATACGTGCAAAATCAATAAAGCCACTGATTAAATGGACTATTTCTATACATTGGAGATAATTTCAAATATTTCTAGTTTTAATTAACCACTGTTGATATGTCTCTCATCTTTACAACACTTTCCTACTTTTAATAATTGATTCCAGTTCCATGTTAGGTGTGCTTTTATTCAGAAATAGTACTAATGACTTTTACTATTGTATCTCCACCTGAGGTTAATAGGGTTAAAAAAAAAAAAAGCTAAATGAAACATTAAAAGCTGATAAATAAATTGTAAGATAATGTGAAGATTAGGTAAAGTATATTTTTTGAAACACAAACCTGAGGTATTTTTTCTGGAATAGGCTCATTCTGGAGAGCTTGAAGGGCCTTCATTGCAGCATTATGTCTAGCAGCTTGACGAGTCTTTCCTTCACCAAAAAACTCACTGTTGCCAACAGTTAACTGGACATAGAAAATTTTAGGCACTGGGCAGTGATACCTGGAGAAAGGTCATAAACAAGTTAATGTATTGCTATACTCTCTATAGAAAGCAGTAACACTAGTTATCCATTTTAAATGTGTATTTTTATGCAATATGCAACAGTAGTTACCATTAAATGTTATCTCCTCTCACAGGGTAAGATCTAACACTGGAATATATGTCTCCGTTCCTCAGCTAGTCCACTGGTAATTCTAATAGCAATCTTACCATGCCCACTAGCTCTGTGCTTGTATTTGCATTGCTCTGCAATGAGCTGGACTGTACTGCAGGTAAAACCACCCAGCTCTGCTCTCCCTAGGGTTTTTGTCCTCAGACCATTAAGCATAAGTAGAACTGAAAGCACTGAGGGAAACTGTGCCTTTCCCAAGGGAAATCAGAGACAGGAAGCAGCAATGTGAGGTCTCTCCCACAAGGGTTCTGCAAGATGACTGCATGCCTCAGATCTGGCAGTGAACATGGAGAAAATCGGACGGCAGAGACTGAAGGATGTGGAAAATGCCTTCTAGTCTCTTTTTAAAGCTCAATTTCTGAAAAGAGGACAGGAAGGAGCATAATAAAAGGTAGGAAGAAGCTCCCTTCCTACACTGAGCATTATCCAGGCCTACTGAAGAAAGGCAGGAACCACCATTCCTTTTCTTCCCCCGCCGCCTTTTTTTTTCTTTCTGTCTTTTGTTATTTGGAGAAAAATCTCCAAATATAAGGGCTTGTTTTTCTTAAAACTGAATATACAGTACTGACAGAAAGATAAAGTAAAAGGCTGGAAGCTTTCCTGTAAAACAGTGCAGTTATTTTACCTCAGAGGATGTAGCATCTTTACTCATATCATCCAGAATGATGATATTGAATGATGGCTGCCACATTTCTATTTTCAGTAATAAAAATTGCTAATCCAACCAAGCCAGAAACATCCCTCCTGCTAGCATAGAACGAAGACAGTGAGATAATGCCATTCTTGGTTTTGGAATATCCCATCACAGAAATTAGAGCTTGTCAAAGGAACTTCTAGAGTAAAGCAATAAATGTTTTTTCTCCCTCTTGACCCAAGAAAAGTAATTCAATACACGGAGTTCTTGTCACTGTTATAATTATAATCTTTTAAGAGAAAATTAAGAAAAAAAAAATCCAAGTAAAGAAAATTCCCTCTGATGAGGGAATTTGCTTTCTACTCTGTGCTCTATGATCAAGTATGCCTGCAGCTCCTTCCTCAAGAAATGGCTCTTCTAACACCCTTCAGATTTCTTCCTCAGAAGAATTCTATGTGTATTGGAAATGGTTTCTCATGTATGACATAGACCTTGCACATATTTTACTGCAGTGTGAAAACCCAAAACTTCACAGCTTGGCCAAAAGCTGGACCGATCACAACAAAGCCAGAATCACTCCAAATCCCAACATTTCTCCTCCTTGCTCTTACTAAACACACTTACTGAAACATATTCACTTCATTTTTGTCTTGATGCAGGTGGTCGTATTTTCCCTCACGACTTCTTGACTTCTCAGTTACAAAAGTCATCAATTTGTTTCCTCTGCCTTGAGGACCAAGCCAGGTTCACCCGCTGGTAGCCTGCAAGATCCAATTATCCCTTGTCCTTCTTAAAGGTGGACACATGCCATTTTCTTCCCATCATCCAACCTCCTCCAGTCACTACAGACTACAAAAGAAAATCGGCAGTGGCCTCTACAATGACCAAACCAGCTCCCCCAGCATGTCAGAGCTCGTCACTGACTTGTACCTCTTGATCCCCAAGTTCTCCTCCCTACCATGGTTAGTAATTTACTCCCCCAGTCTCTGCCAGGAGGCACCGGGAAGCCTGAGACCAGACCTTGACAGCAGAGATGAAGGCAAAGCAGCACCGAGACCCTCTGTGCACCTTTGGCACGAGGGCCCTCGCTCCATCCAGCCCGCTGAACTGCTGTGATTCTCACTGACATTCACACCTCCAGACAGCTCCATTTCCAAATGAGCTTCAGCTTTCTGTATTTAATCAAAAACGAGATTCTCTTAGTTAGTAGCCTGATTAAACCTACATTTCAAGGTAGTATGTTATGTCTTACCAAGAGTAAAACACTGTATATTATCACTGTATATTTTTAACAGAATATGACTAGTGACACAAAGCTATAAAAAGAATACTACTATCTTTTTGGCTTTACTTTGCTAGTTTTAGACTGCTCCAATGAAGTTAGTTCAGATTTGTGCCAGTTCAAGTGAGGTTAAAAACTGAGTGAATGTCTAGCTGATTTAATGTCCTCAGCAATAGGAGTTTAAGAGTTAAAAGCAGAAAACCAAATTAGAAACTACTTTCTCTCCCTTTGCAAGTAACCATTATATTCCATTAAAGAGAAATTAGAGATACTAAACATTGTGAAGGGAGTATTAATAGAAATAAATTTTATTTTAAAAGCCTACATTAAAAAAAAATTAGAAAGATCAGATGCTTCTAAACTGATCCATCTAAATTTAAGTTTCTTTATAAGATACGCAATTATATTGTAATATTATAAATACTATCCACAAAAAATGTGCATACTTTTATATATATATGTGATGTAATATATATGACACATTATATCATCCACACATGATTACAAAAAACTATAAAATAGAACACAGGCACCTTTTGGAAACACTACAAAGTCCCTATATGAATATTAAATATGATACTGCTATTTATTAACTAAGCTGCTGACAAACCAAAGCAGAGAAACAGATGGGTAGCCCTCCAATATGGAACTCACTCCACTCTGTTCCTCACTGGTTTTGACATATACCATCCCCTTCTGCCTCCCCTATATACTACCAAAATGCACAAAAATTAAATTAAGAGCACAAAAATAAAACCAAGGCAACATTAATGTGGTACAATCTACAGTTCTCTCTTAGACAAAGTACAGTGACTTCAGGGTGAAATTTACATCAAAAAGAATGGTAACTTTCTCTCACAGTGTTTAACAGTAGATTTTCACCATTTCTGTTGGCTTCATAAGTTTATGTGATATTCACCCTATGTCAACACTTCGATTTATTAGTTTTATTTGGATTGCAATACTGTTACAGGGAATACATTAAAAATAAATGTAGGGACATAGACAGTAAATCTAAATAACAACAAGTCTAAGAATCACGGGCCTTTGACACAAAACATAGCTCACAGTGTATCTCAAAAAGAGTAAATATATTACTTACTGAAAAATCCAGGGAAAAATAAAGGAAAGCTTTCTCAGTTTAATCACTACCAATGGAATAGATGAGTGGTTAGGCTCATAATTCTACTTCTTCCACACTCAAAGCAGGGTTGCTTGGGAGCGCGCCCAGCATCTCCAAGGATGGAGGCTCCACCACCTCTCTGGGAAAACTGCTCAGTCTCCAGTCACCTTTACAGTGTCCACTGCCTCTTGTTCTCTCACTGGATACCACTGAGAAGGGTTCATCTTCTTTATTATATTATATATATACACACATATGCTAAATATATTTGCTATATATATATTATATTTCAGAATATATAGAATACATTTATTATATTCTTTCCAGGACCATATCCTATATTATTGCAAGCAGATCCCTGAAGAGGCCAAAGCCTGTTCTCCTGAAGTGCTGGGTCATTATTCTGCCATTTGTCTTGTTCCTGCCTTTCAGGACTGAACTCCGCTATCTCATAGTCACTGCAGCCAAGGCTGCCCCCAGCTTCACATCCACAGATGGTTCTTCCTTGGTTGAAATATGAAGTCCAAAGCTTCTCCCCTCACTGGCTCCTCAATCACCTGTATTAGGAAGCTGTCATGGATGCATGCCAGAAACCTCCTCAATTGCTCAAAATCTCTGCTGTCAACACCTGCTGTGCAACCAAATGTTGACCCACAGGATGCACCCACTGCTTCTCAAGCTCTTCCCTCTCACTGGCAGATTTAAGGAGAAAACCACCTAGGCCTCCATGCCCTGGACTATCACTCCCAGGGCCACAGACCATGCCCGATATGTTCCAGCTGTCCCCTATCTGCATCACAGGTGCCCATGAGGAAGAGCAGCAGGAATTGACCCTCTGCTCTTACTTGCCGCTTCCTCCTGGTGCTGCTGCATAGCTCAGGCTCAGCTGCCTTGGATGTTTTGTTGGACAGAGCTCCCTGCCCCGTCTTGCTGCCAGACTGCACTGAACCTATTCTGGAGTCACAGACCTGCAGGAGCCTTCCTCCTGCTGCCAGAATTTGCAAGCTTGCAGCCTTCATCATCACAGGAGTCTCTGTTTCCCATCCCCAAAGTATCAACTTTTCTTGTCCCTCCCTTGGTACAGTTGGGGGTTCAAACTCTCGTATCTACAGGGTTTTGGAGAAGATCCAGTCTCTTTCTAATCACCTCTAAGTGATGCAGTCTGCTGATGGCCTCTCACAGTCCTTTTACTTGGTGACAGATCTTCCTTCACCACACACCTCCTACAGACAAGGCGACTGTCTCCTCCTGTCCCAGTCTCCATGAAGGACACTGAGCACCTCCTGCAATCCAAGACCTACAACGCTGTATCTTCCCCCTGGAGCATGATCCGAGTCAAGGTCTCTGGAATGTTAGAGACAGTTGCTCCACTTGGCATGGGGAACCAAGCCCTGCAGTGCCTCACCACAGACCCTGTCCTCAGCAGAGCTTCTAGGCCCCTTCTACGCAATCTGCACCACAATCTGCACCACAATCTGCACTGCTGCTAGAGCTTCCTAGAATTCACAGCCTCCTGCAGCTATCCCAGCCCTGTGCCAGCAGGTGTCCTGAATTTCCTCAGAGTTCCCAGGCATCCTCCAGTGATCCCAGAATTCCCAGAAGATCTAGAAGCAGAACCTGCAAGCTGCTGCTCTGTAGGCTGCAGAGTGAAGGACAAACTCTGCAGTGAAAAAGCAGTAGGTATCTTGATGGCCAATCCCACCTTATTAATTCACAGTTCTCTTGAAGAAAAAAAAAAAAAGTGGTAGAGCTGTCAAACAACTACCTAAATTTGGGGATAAATAGCACA